GCGCTTGAATTGCTAAAGTCTTGCCTTTTCACTAAACGGAAGGAACTTCACCTTTCACACTGATTTATTTATGATAATAAATGAAAAATGTACGAATCAGCGAAAAAATCGATATTTGTTTATTTATTTATCTTGATTTCTGCAAGTGTCAAGGGGTAACGCTCCAGTCCTGCATTGTGTTAAATCCGCAATTTTATGTTTTTAATAAAATCTATGTCTATGTACCAAACAAAATAAATTTAGGATATAAATTACAAGAGAACCAAATATCATGTTCATGTTGATATCTTTCATAGTTAATTGGTTAAATGACAGGATAACTTCTAAAATATCTATCAAAATGTTTGAAAAATGGGCTACATTATTTATGTTTTGAATGACAATAATGACTAAAACCAAACTTCCATAATTCCATATTTATTTTGTTTTCCTCTTGAATCTTATTTCAAGTCATACATTCCAATTGCCTATGTCATAAAAAGTGTGCATGAAATATTTGAAAAATGAAAGTGAAAATAATAATACAATATGGACATTGATTCTAAAAGTATCATCAAAATATCTTAAACAGTATGAATTAAAGATATAAATTTATCACATAGACTATGGCGCAAGAGTGTAATAAAGCCATTTACTAAAATTGACATTACACTAAATGTAATAACACTTCTGACGTAACATCATTTATGATATTTACAAATATGATGCAAAATCGCACTAATGTTAATGTTACACTATAGGCATCTCAATAACAACTGTCTGTTCAAAACACTAAACATTCTATATTTTGAATATTAGATAATTGAATATTATATTCATGCAGATTCAGTACTAAACTTGTTGAATAAGACAATTTTACATGTATGTTCGCCAGAGGCTTGCATAATATGATTTTATTCAACTTGTTCAATAATTTTAGTATTAAACCTACACTCATTCAATATCCTCAAATATTAATAGGTTTTCAGTCCGAAACACCCATATACATTTTTGATATGAACTACGTAAATAAAAGAGCTATATCGAGTGAAAACATACGAGTTGTTCAATTTTCTTCGAGTAAAATCGATATCTCTTACGCTAAACAATGCAATTTAAACCGTTTTTAAACCGCTAATTTGTTGTGATTTAATGTCCGATTTTAAAAAATCATTACATCAATTGATAGCTTTGGATCTTAGATTTGTCACAGTATGTTCTTTAACACATCTTTTGACACCAAAGTATTAAAAGCAACTGTTAAACTTACCATGTGTCTGACCATTTTACATATGATTTGTACAGTGAGATACACAACCGGTTATCTTTACTTGAAAAACTACTGATAAGAATAGCGTGTCGTCTGCTAGTTGGGAAACAGTCACTCGGTGTATTGACATTGATTACATTGTGAATCAAGTACTCTTCAGTCACTAAACTTTGATTCATGCACTACTTTTTCTCAATTTTGAGCCATGCTAATATTTAACTTGTCATTTTGCCATGCTCAACTTTAACTTGTCATTAATACACTCTCATATTTCACTTAACTTGGATCTATCCTCAACTCGAACGTTAACTTCATTAGAATCCATTATTAATTGCAGTGAGCGTTGATATAATCTAAATTGTCACTTGCAACCTTAATCAATATATGTTATCCGGAACTCGGACAATGTGGGTTTTTTTCGAGTGTAAACCGATTACAATTAGTGTTTTACTTGATACTTACCGTCACAATACAAATGTCAACCTGTTGTGCTTATTTTCAATTTTTCGCGGAGTTAAAAACAGTGGGATGTTTTAATTGCTTTTTTCTTTGGGAATAGATTTAGGTTTTTATCAAGAATGGGGCATTATTTCAGTCCCTGGTGAAAGGATGATTATGCCTTGGAATGAAGCTAACAGGTTATTTAAACCACTCTTGAGTCTGTTTCCATGAACAAAAAAAAAATTGGTGACATTATACTTATACAATGTCAACTCTCTGGTTAAGAGGCAGACGCCTTCAAACACTAGACAACCACCCTATACCCCCGGAATTTTGTTTCAACAAACCCGAAATATTTGTTTATAAATACAAATTCTCAAATATTTCCTCTTTTTATACTGCATCTGTATGTCACATAGTGAGGGGGAAATTGATAATTTTTGAACAGTGCTAGTGTTATGATTATGTACATGTTCCATTAACTTCCGTTTACTCATTCCCTTTTTTCAGCATCTGTTTCTCAATGACTTTATCATTGGCAGCGTATGAATCTGCAATCTCTTTCTGCAAAATTATTCAATACAATATGGTACACATGAATAAAACAGAACATTTCCGCAAATGACAAAACAGAAAATTTTCTTTGTGGTTTAGAGTCATGTCAAGGCTGTTCAGGAGATATGGTGACTTATTTCAGCTTGATTGATGGAAGAAGATATTAGATGGCTCCCCATGCTTTATTTCAGACACACCGACCCCAGGGGCCGAAACACCAACCTTCCAAAAAAACGGGCTGCCAAAACGACACACCAAGTATATAGTTATAGCTAAGGTTGGCATATAAATTTTCCAGTATATTGTTATATTTAAGGTTTCTTTTTGTACCAACAAAATCATGCAATTACCAACAAAATGTTACTTGTTGATTAATACTTGATATCAACATATTCCAAATTGGGATAAGAAGAACCAAATCAATTCTAAAGAGTAGTGGGTTATTTTAAAGTGCTACTCTTAATTATCTGACACCAATTCTTTTATCAAAAATCATGTATGATCTTAGATTTTTATTCACACTGTAAATGTGCAAGGATATATCAAATTTCAGCTGACAATTGCTATAAGTAAAACAGATAATTTTAATCAAACTTAGCAATTTATATGACTTATTGTCTTAATTTTCTCTATTACGCATTTCTAGTATGTACAATACATTGTTCTAGTTTATGAAGAAAATACTGACAACTGAAGTATTTAAAAAATACAGTCCCTTTTCTTGGAAATTTATACTAAAAATAGCAGACATGTTTTTATATTCAGATAAAGTTTTAAAGAGAAAGAAACTACTTACGGCCTCAATTTCATCTTTTTCATCCTGCCCATATTCTTTGTATGTTTTAGTTTATACAAATTTATTTTAGTTCGATTGTGTTGAAAGCTGTAAGCTGTAAGGTTATTGAAACACTCTTAAAGAGGCGATGGATACTATCGACTTGAATACTATTAACTTGAGTTTCATGTTAATATGTTGCTTATATCACAAATATTGACGAAATTTTGTGATTCATACAATTAATGTCACTGCCACTGATAATCAACTTATATGATTTCTATAAAAAAAAATGGCGAATGATAATTCATTTGTTTAGAGAGATTACATTTGTTGCATGACTTATACTTTTCCTGTAAAATTAAATGATTACTTTTTTCAATGTATATATGTCTTTTTTGTTCTAAATGCACAATTAAAAATAAAAGTGTAAAAAAAATTTCTATGATCACAATCAAATTGTTTCAACCTGCAACAACTATTATTTATACAACTGAATTAATATATACGTTAAACGAGTAAAATAGAGAAAATAAACCCCTATAGAAAGTCAAATGTATCAATATGAGTACCAGTTTATTATGATAGTAACATAATTAATATGACCTCAAATTAAATGTACGCAATGGTACATGATTTTAATATGCAAATGTGAATATGAATTATTGAGAAATGATTACTTGATAACTTTTACAATAAAAAGTCACATGTTTAATAAGAACATATTCATTTTAGCTCGAACGTGGTGGAAGTTGAGAAGTTTGATTATAAAATGTGTTCTTTCATTAAAGCATAAATTGTTATTTTTGTTTTGCTTAGCGCATGTTTTCTGTGATTTTGAATAACTATGGTAGCACGCACCATTTTCTGTTTTTCTGTATAATCCACCAACACGTTTAAATAAATTTAAGTGACTTTATGTCAAAGTTTAACGTTATTAAGACATAAAATGGCTTAATAATCAAATTTTGAACAGTAGTGGTCATAACGTTAAATGTAGAAATATATTACTCCGTAAATATTACATTAATTCAATACAATTAATCGGCCATCATGACAGTTATTTCCAGCTTGGGTTAGCAATTCAAAGAAGATGAATAAAAGATCACAAACAGAAATTAATGGGACATTTGTGACGTAAATTGCAAAAGCTCTACAACAGGATCGATGTAAACAGTACTCGAACTTGCCGACATATTTGAAGTCTGCATCTGGTCTACTGATTCAGTTCTGGCAAACGGATTTAATATGAGATTATTGTTTTAAACGCTACTTTATTTAAAAAGATATACGTGTTATCAACAAATTAATAAAATTATGAATACTAGTAATCATTGGTATTTTTTAAAACGTCATTTGCTGTATTGTTGGCGTGCGCCGGATTTTGTACCACTTGTCATTTGAAATTTTCACAGATTTGTTATTTATAAACAAAAATGATATTTTTTACTGTATATAGAGGATATGTTCCGATATTTCTTTTTCTTGCAAAATGATACGGTTATCTAGAAAATGTGAATAGTAGAGTTGCAGTCCTAATTACATTTTGATCAACCCCCGTAAGACCTTCTGTTTTATTATTTTTTAGGTAACAATGAATTAAATTATTGTTATTGTATATTTGGAAATACCAACTTTTAAAAAAAAATTAAAACTGAAAGTGCGTTAACAAAAAACATAAACGTCAACAAATATTCTCTAAGTGAAAATTTATTTCTTCAATCAACAAACAAACAGATCAAAATATTCACTTCCTATCTTTTTGTGGATCGACATTATTCATTATAAGATTATGTTTATGATTTCAAGTGGACATAAACTCTGTCACCTGATTTCATTTTTGCGATTGTTTGTGTCGATGGGCATTCATTACTGTGATGAGCATATCCGTAGGCGGACGCATAGACCTTTGATCCTACTATTATATCAAAAAGAATATGTTTTTGACTTGTAACGCATAGTTTTGCGTTAAGGGTGTACGTTCCATCTCTAACAGCAACATAAACATCAATGAAAGGGTTATAACCTCCTTCTTCATTAGCAAATGTTTTAGAAAAAATCGTTCCGATGTTGAGCCTTGGGCTGCAGCCATATACAAGGCCGATGTTAAATTCCAAACTTATGTTTGATACTGAAAAAGAAAAGCATAAACACATAATGACTATGAATAAACTATAGTTCTGATTCATTTCTAGAATTTTTGTAAAAAAAATACGCAAATGATGTAATATCAATCTTGAATACTACACTTATTTATGTGACTAAACAACTTACGACAGTCCATTTTGTTGCAGGTTACTACTTGCGTATTATCTCCAACACAAGGTTTTCCATGAATTCCAGGAACTGGATTTGTGCAAAACCTTGACCTGGTTTCAACTCCAACACCACAAGATACACTGCAATTGCTCCATGTATTCCAATTTGACCAGCCACCATCCGATGCTAAAATAAAATTTTTACTTATCAATTTTAAAATATTGTAACACTGATAATTTCATAGATATATGCAGAATTCGATATTTTTTAATTCTAAATTGTTCAACTAGGATACAATTCACATCACAATGATTTGATTCGTACAGACAATGTATTAGAAATGTAATCTATCCATCATAAACAGAAGAAAGCTCATTTTGATCTGTGATTTGCCTCTTCCTTTAATGTGAAATATTGGTATTAACAAAACTTTTCAAATGCCAGAATAGCAACATTCTGTCTCAAAATGCGTAAAGTGACACTCGCCGTCCTATATTATTTTAATTGGATAAAGTCCATTTTACTGCAACATATTCTAACAAAACAATGATGATACTAAATGTCTTAAGTCTAAAGGCATGAAATGAATATACATGTGTAAATCCGTTATTTATTTCTCGTATTACATTTGATATTTTATGCTCAACAGCTAAAAATAAACCTACCGTCACATGGGTCTTGCTTGCACAGCCTGACATCCATAGAATCACCAAAGCAATGGTTGCCATGTCGAAGAGGAGATGGGTTTGTACATTTGCGGTGTCTTTTCTGTATCCCTGTATCGCAGGTTACAGGGCATGGCTCCCAACTTGACCATCTCGCCCAGCCCCCATGAACTGAAATTTGATAAAATTACAGCATTTCAAACAATTTATGAGTATATTAGTACTATATTATTAGTATATTAGTATTTATTTAATAGGAGTTAATCAGTTATTGCCCTACTGTTATGTATTGTTCTTGATTTATAAGTGAATTTGTCATGCTAATTGCTCAATATTCTAGGATAACATGAACATGAAATTGATATTGGCAATGCATAATCTTGCTCAATAAAATACATAATGATTATGTAGTATAGTTTTATAAGTCTCTCAACCAAAGAAAATTCAAATTTTATTTCATTGTAACATTTAAATCATTAAATTGTTCGTTACCTGACAGAATTTATTTTTCATGTTTACAAACTGATCTCTAAGTGCTTCAAACTTGGAAATACAAATTAACACATGAAGTATGAGGTTTCTTGTCTACCTGGACATGAAGGCCGAATACAAGAGTTAACGTCTGTGTTAGTTCCATTACAATCCAGACCTTTGTATGCAGGTGCTGGGTTGGTACATGTTCTGATTCGTGTGTGTTTTCCGTGACCGCATGTGACGTCACATGATGACCACGATGACCAGTCGGCCCAGTTACCGTCAACTTCAAATAAATAACATAAGAAGATGTGCCTAAACGATGAACAAACTTTTCTGTTTCACATATTTCGAATAATTGCAGTCAACTATTAGTGAAGTTTTATTTTCTTTTTTACAATGCAAAGCATTATACTCGTATTTTAATGCTTATTTATTTTGTGAGTACGTCATTAGAAAAACTGCATAAATATAGTTACCTAGATCACACAGTTTGCAGAATTTACGACAGTGTAACTTGGCTTTATGGATATCTTCACAGATGTCAAAATCTTTGTTCCAGAATTCACAGTTTTCCCTATTATCGCTACAAGGGGGCGCTTAAATTGAAATTAATAATAAAAGACTTAATTTTATAGTGATTGAGTGAGTGAGTGAGTGAGTGAGTGAGTGAGTGAGTGAGTGAGTGAGTGAGTGAGTGAGTGAGTGAGTGAGTGAGTGAGTTGGTGAGTGAGTGAGTGAGTGAGTGAGTGAGTGAGTGAGTGAGTGAGTGAGTGAGTGAGTGAGTGAGTGAGTGAGTGAGTGAGTGAGTGAGTGAGAGTGAGTGAGTGAGTGAGTGAGTGAGTGAGTGAGTGAGTGAGTGAGTGAGTGAGTGAGTGAGTGAGTGAGTGAGTGAGTGAGTGAGTGAGTGAGTGAGTGAGTGAGTGAGTGAGTGAGTGAGTGAGTGAGTGAGTGAGTGAGTGAGTGAGTGAGTGAGTGAGTGAGTGAGTGAGTGAGTGAGTGAGTGAGTGAGTGAGTGAGTGAGTGAGTGAGTGAGTGAGTGAGTGAGTGAGTGAGTGAGTGAGTGATATAATACTAAATTGTGTAATCACATTCATGCAAACGTAACACATCATTGTCTATACATTTAAATGGAAAAAAGGATATGAAAAATCTAGTTATAGTAATAACATTAGGAGTTTTTTTAGTCATTTCTTTATTAAAGCTTGATGTTAATGCGCATTGATCCGATAATTATTATATAGTAATGAAGCAAACGTTCTGTTAATTAATGATAAAAATCATGACATCTATATAATGGGACTTACCAACATCTCCAGGAGCAGCCAACAGGAAAAGGAGAAATCCTCAAAACACATATATGATATTAAAGGCCACTTGTTAGTCAAAAAGCTTTAATGTTATTTCTCAAAGGCTTTTTATATGTGGTTTCCTATTAATTGTTCCAAAAGATTACTTATTAGCCAATAACCTAAATAATATTAGGGAGACGAATACAGTTGAAATTTATTAGTTTGTTACTACATTTGCTACATGTATGACAACTAATTTAACAATAAGCGCTACTTTCTTTATGTAATAAGGTACTAGCATATTCTAAAACCATTATTTAACATTATAAAACTCATGTCTGCCCTTTCCAGAGAAGAATAAAAATATTCAATCTGAGGCATAATTTGCTTTAATGATTTTTGTACAATAAAGGTGTTCGGTAAAATAAGAACATATATTTGTATGATTTCATGGATGGACTTTCTACTAATGTAAGAGCCCCGAATGAACATTTCATTATTAATATCAATGTAGTCAAAATTATTATTTCAGAAATTACATGTTTCATACAATGCATTTTGTTTCTTTGTTATATTGATTGCGATCACGGGGTTGTTATTATTATTAATGATACAATAAAGATATTTCAACTTACCTTTATAAAGCATCATTGTGACTTTTTCTTCACGCTATTTATCCTTTATATTGAACTCTGAAAAACAAGTGTGTATTCAAATAACTATGTATTATATTCAATAATGTTAACTTTGTATTTCTGGCTATTATTCTCATTCATAAAATTAATTTCTAAATTGATAAAATGAATCATAAAGAACTCGTGGTCTATCTAATAATGACGATTACAAACAAAATACTTATATGTTCATTCACATTAAAGTACAATATATTGCACACAAAAAATACTTTAAAAAAGAAAAGATATTAAGTATGAAGCCAATACCATTACTTAAAAATATAAGCCTTATTCAAGGATTTATTTTGTTTACATTGCATTTAAAAATGTGTCAGGTTAAGTGTACTCTTCAAAAGATGTCATACAAACTTATAACAAGTATCTACAAAAGAAGTATTATGCTCGAATATTATTGATTTGTTTTAAATATAATTTTCCATAAATTATTTTGTTATTACAGCATTATGTTTTACGTATGATGGCAAAAAAGTTGACTTAAAAATATGCATTATCTATTCATGTACGAGCCGTATATAATAGAAAATTATTGGAAACAAGAAATTAATAATGAATTTCAATATTAAGTTTTTAAAAAAGCTTTATTTTGACATTATGTAAAGAAATGTTTGATATACACACTTACCTCGTGAAAACATACAACGACTTAGGTTTTCTGGGATCATGCGACGTTCTATTAAAGGGACAATAAAAAGGAAGAAAATGAGTGGCAGTATGATTCAGAGGCCAATAAAATGTTTTGAAAATGTTTTATGTCTTAAGGGTATCTGTTTCTTCAAATACGTTGATACTTTACAAATTAAGTATGTATGGTTTTTATTTGTTATTGCACATGTATATCAATAAGATGAAGCAGTTTTGAAAGGTTTGTTTCTGCTTATGTATACATGGTATACATATGAATATCATCTTACAACGTTTTATCTTAAAATGGCTTATATTTGTAATTTCTTGACATTCATCATCCTGTGTAAACTAAATCGTAAATATATGTTTCTATATCATTAAATATCAAAGCAAAGTATATATTTGTTCGAAAATATGTTGGCGTCAATACATAATAGGAGGGATTCTTACTGATTTTAAATTGTGAATGACGTCAGAATTAAAGAGCAAGTCCATACAGATAAAAGATAAACTAATTCAAAAGCTAAGTTATAACACAGGTTGCACTTAACATGTAATCACATTTGAAGATATTGACTTGTTTAAATATAAGGTTCTTTTATCAGATTTTGAGTGTAATGGTGTTGTGGATTAAAAAACGCTTTTCTGTCGGAGAACTGTTCAAACTGCATTTTTAATCTTATGCTTGTATTTTAGTGCTGTCCAGGGTTCATCCATGTTTATGACGAAGACTTATCTTTACTAAAGCTATATGATCTATCACCTTAATCAACTAATCAATATAAACGTGTCTGTGAAACAGTTACAAACTTTGCAAGCCATGTTCTTAGAAGCCTTTATAGATATTTAGTAAGTAAGTAAGTAAGTAAGTAGGTAAGTAGGTAGGTAGGTAGGTAGGGGTAGGTAGGGGTAGGTAGGTAGGTAGGTAGGTAGGTAGGTAGGTAGGTAGGTAGGTAGGTAGGTAAGTAAGTAAGTAAGTAAAGAAGTAAGTAAGTAAGTAAAGAAGTAAGTAAAGAAGTAAGTAAGTAAGTAAGTAAGTAAGTAAGTAAGTAAGTAAGTAAGTAAGTAAGTAAGTAAGTAAGTAAGTAAGTAAGTAAGTAAGTAAGTAAGTAAGTAAGTAAGTAAGTAAAGAAGTAAGTAAGTAAGTAAGTAAGTAAGCAAGCAAGCAAGCAAGCAAACAAGTAAGTAAGTAAATAAGTAAGTAAGTAATAAGTAAGTAAGCAAGAAAGTAAGTAAGTTAGTGAGTTTGTCTGTTTTCTTCATTTTTAATTAATACTGTCAAGAAATAAAAAAACATAAATCCGATACCTTGTGATACTCCTAAACAAAATGTGTTTAAAAAATAAAAGTTAGTATGTTTTGATCACGTGACATACCCGACTAACATTATAGACATATAAAATTAGTAAGTTATAAATACTAAATTTTGTAATCACATTCATGCAAACGTAACAAATCATTGTGTATACATTTAAATGGAAAAAGGATATGAGAAAGCTGTAATCCCTCAGAAATGAAGATATAAAACATATTATATGAAAATTCAAACTTGTTTTGCACATTTTCAATATAGTTTAGCAATATTGTGTTCTAAAATACTACCTTTACTATCCATTCCGGATTTCTTAAAACTTTAAAGAAAAAAAGGGAAAAAAAGTGATGAGGAAGACCACTTTGTAACCCTAACCAAGTCGAGGAATATTCTATTTCCTCTAATATTTACTTTACTTATCGTTTTTTTTTTTAAATTGTAAAGAACTTATCTATGAGCTGAACCTTTCTTCCTTAAAAAAGGACAATTTAAATTCAAAAAATAGTATAATTACATTAGCCTTAAGATCTATCTCTTTTTTTCTTTCAAAGCTCACAAATAACCTAAATAATTCTCATGGTAATGATTGTTTTTGGCTTTTATCATTCTTAACCATATGATCTTCACTAAACCAAAACATCTTTAAAAAACAACTGAAAAATATAAAGAATGGCGTGAGACAAATTCAGATGCAAATGATTATACGCAAAAAATGGACTTGACAGTGTAGTGTCTTTGTCACATTATCGGGTTGACTGTCAAAGTAGCAAAAATCTACACTGTCATCGTTACCAAACCGAAAACAAATTTTTACTTCCTTTCGCTGTATACGGACAGGCAACCTATACTTTTCAAAATATAATTAAGGAAAATATATGAAGAGTTTAAATAAATGCAAAAATGAAATCATAAATCATGTTTTCTTATATCTTTCTTTTTATTTCAAACATTTCCCTTAGTTGAACCGTGAAATGTATACATGTACATTTGTTAGCATTAAAATAGAATTTGATTAGTTGTATGAAGTTGTCCCTGTGTTGCTATTCTTTATCCCTAGTGTAAACGGATTAATGTTGCTTAGCCATGCGCTACGGTACATGCGAGATTTGCACCTTACATTATATCCCATGAACTTATTTATTTATTTATTTATTATGTTATTGTAGGTGGATTTCTTCTTCGTGAACTTTTATGCGTCCCTTGTTTACAACTAAGTAAGCGCTAATATATTTTGTGCATTTAAGGAAATTTGTGTGGGCTTGACAAATGAATACTGATTCAGTCGATGTTACATTGTAAATCGTCTTCATTTTCTTTTATAGGACCAGAAATTATCAGACCGAGTCATTGTTTATTACTTATTTATAATTTTATATTTTTCTTGCTTTTGAGGGTCCTCTCCTTTCCAGATAAATGTGTTTAGAGCTATTTGGCAGTTTTAAAAGTTTGCCTTATATTTAATATCTATCTGTGTTGTTATACTACTAGAAACCTTCGTCTCTTTGTTTCTTGTTTATTGGTATGTAAGGATGTTCCCGTATTTTACAGACTTTATAGGAAGCAACAGTTATATTCAAAATCTTGAATCTGCCGAAAAAGTCTATTTTTCGAATATCACATCATTATTTACAAACTTATTGACTTATAAAATACGCTAAAATGCACAAGAAACACACTTGCAATAACAAAAGTTATCATAAAAACTCTAGGAGATCTTCAGTTATGACATTTGAAAAATCGAGTTTAAATTTATCAGCCTGGACTTTATGCTTGCATTTTTTACTTAAGTATGACAATATTGAAAAAGTCAATATGTAAGAATATTAAGTAATACTTTGAAACGCTTACTTAAAATTACCAGATATCAAAAAAGAGGCAATGAAAAAAGGACTATTAAGTTTTTTTCTGACACATAATACAAAGGCAAGCTTAATCATCAAGATTTAATTTAGCACCTCAAACTCCCCATTTAAAAATAAAAATTACCATATTACGAGTGTTTTCTAGTTTACAATAAATTTCGTGTAACAGTTTCTCCCCAGTGAAATATTTAATTATCAAAGGGACTGAAGGTGTATTGTATTGGTTTAATGCGTGTAATTGCTTAATGTGTGCAATTTGTTCACGGATAGTTTTAGTGCATGACAATAAATATTGTAAAATCCTCCTAATGCATTACCTCTAATTTAAAAAAAGGCTACAAATACTGTCGACTACAATGAAACTGAGTGTCGTTGGTTTAAACAAAAGTAGGCAAATTTTTTTTTCTTGAACACCTTGAATGACCTTTGGTCTTTCTAAATTTATTCTTTTGATATTAAAGCATAAAGTATGCATGACAAGAGGGTCAGAAGAAATTTTAATTGAATATCAATTTTGAAATAGTAGGAGTTGTTTCCCTTGCATTGATGACAATTTTTAGCAATTTTCTCAAAATGAATCTATTAAAAATAGGTCTGGCATTAAAATTTTGACAACTTTGGTAAGATACTTTTGAATGATTATCTTAAATATATTAATAAACTATGTATGTAGAGTCTGAAAAGAAATATGTTATTCCTCCTTAAATGTATGCATAAATGTTATGTATTGTGTAAAGGAATTTGAAAGTAAAAAAAATTAAATAGTAAATTATACATGGTGTTCTTACTTTATTAATTGTCTTTGTTAACGAACGGAGGCTAAGGAACAGTGATTTTTAATTGGAATATACCGGCTTCCTTGCTATCCCGATCTCCTACGACACTTTACGGTTTTTACGATACGCGCTTAATTTTATACCAAGTAATTTTATTGTTACTTTTTTCGTAATACTATAAATGAAATGAATGAAAATTTTGACGGAATAGCAACATAATTATATAGATCTACTACAAAGCTGTTTTTTTATAATGATATTTTACGTCAAATAATGCTATTTCACGTCAAATCTAGTTTGAACATTCATTTAAATCATTCTTAAATCGGTATACTGCACACACACAAAAAATATGTATCTCGTTTACTGTCTAATACCACCGTCTATACCAATAACATAATCGTTATGTTGAGAAATACCATTGTAAAAATTACATAAACCAATACTTGTAAGTCTACGAAGCGATTCGTATGTTCAAAATGAGCAAGAATAGCTTTGGTTATACTAAATTACTTTTTTATGCAATTTGTGATAAAAGTCATTCTCCTACCCACTACATGAAAAAGAATAATAAGTGACTTTCAGGTGGCCATGTCTGACTTGAGATGGGGTAAGTCGTGTTTCTGTGTTCGTTTACCTTTTAGAGACATTACCCATACCAATAAGAAGCTACCCATTGATTAGATCATTTAATCAATTTGGAGGTTATTACATGTATGACAAGGATATTCACAGTAAACTGTTGTTTGTGAAACTCTTTGCGGGCAACATTGACTTTAAGTTAATCACCTATCTGACATTATTCAACTTCTCTTTTTTTTTGTGAAGCATTTTAATCGACTAAATGAAAAAGAACACACAATTTTTATCACTTTTATTACATGTTAAGTTAATCATTGTAAAGTTAAGCATTATTTCTCTCGAAAAAGTACATATAAAACGCAAATTAAGAACGATTAAGTAATCGATATTAAATTACAGAAACGTAAATGAAAGAATCACAACTTTTTCTTCAATTAAACAACTCTTCTTTTGTTAATTATGTAAAGGAATTAAATTGACACTTTGATACTATAGTGAGATTCGGATTAAAAGGTTCCAAATTGGTTATATTATAACTTCATTTACATTATACTTGTAAGATAAAAAATAGTACAAGGTAAAATATTTTAATACAATGCCATGTGTTCAAATTATGATAAGATGTACATATTATGCGTACAGTCTTATATTCATATCTACAACAATAAATTAGATATCATCAAATTTTTTTACAAAGAAAACAGTGTTTTGATATAAGGGCTACAGACCATATATGCAGCGAATAACAAACTTAGCTTGCGTTTTTATATCGTATACTTATATGCCAAATACTAATACAATCACTGATAAACTTTTATAGACATACTGCGAAAACTGTTTGTTTTATTTATTTCTTGCAACTTTATATTTATTAAATGAATTAACATTAAAAAAAATTGGGAAACAGTGCATTAATGAAACAATTAATAGTGATTATGTGGGTTTTTTTTTAATTTAAATATTTGAATATATTCAAAATGTTCCTTACCTTAGGTTACAAAACTTACAATAATAGTCATGATAAAAAGCTGACCAAAATCTTGTTTCAAATAAGACACAAAAAGCTATTGAAAAACAACAATTTTACATAACTAATATATTTTCTAAACAAAATGATGATTGCTTTTATTCCATGGACGAGGTTCACTACATTTATATCAACACTCATTCTTTCATCTGTTTCTCATGGGTTTGTTTATTTTCCTGAAAATGAATTTCTATACAAGCGACATTGTGCAAGATTAACACCATCAAACCCATGCGCCCATTGCATAGAGACCCTATCATCTGTGTTTAATTGTACTAAAGTGTGTGCCGACGGACACTCTGCACCATATCATGTATACCCATAGGCGCTTGCATACACATCTGATTCCACCATTATATCAAGAGTAATGCCTCTTGACGAATAGGTGCAGATTTGTGCATGAAATGTATACGTTCCATTTCTTGGGGCGATAAAAATACCAGTCGAATTGTTGTATGCATCTCCCTCATTCAAAATAATCTTAGAAAAAAATCATTGGCTGACCTGCAGCTGGTGTGCAGTCAGTTACATAGTAAGCGTTGAAGGCGACATTTTAGTCTGAACACTTCCGATAAAACATTTCATTCAACTATGCAAAGCTGTTTTATAATTTGTGTGCTCATTTGAAATAAACCGTTCGCTAATTATTTTCAGATTTTTTTATACTTTTTGAGTCACATCACTGTTTCTTATCACACCTGGCATGAAATAATTTATTTGATACCTGTTATCATTTAATTAGAACTATTCTTGTACTTGAAAAACTTAAAAATATGTTTTATTTTGTTAGCAACAACTTACGACAATCCTCTTCGTTACAAGTTTCTACTTTTATAGGATCTCCAACACATGGCTCTCCATGAGATCCAGGTACTGGATTTGTACATGACCTTGACCTAGTTTTTACTCCAACACCACAAGATTCGCTACATGTACTCCATGTGACCCAATCTGCCCAACCTCCATTTGATGCTAAATTTCATTTTAATATATTTAGTGTATAGTATTTCAAACTAATTACTATACAAATGTTTTCAAAATATTAGAGTAATATTCAGGGAGTTTAAGTACTTATTTCAAGCCATTATCATTTGATTTGTTCAGGCGATAGTGTTGCTATCAAACTAATGCACAACATTTACCGGTAAGTGTACCTTATAATACAGCTAGAATCGTATTTCTCAATTTGAATTGCCTTCTTTAATGTACAATATCGTTAACGTAAGTTTTTTTATCCTTTCATGGACTTGCAACAATGCATAAATTGATCATGTGTATTTTAATACATCAATCAATTTTTATAATTTTGATATATCCATTTCATCATTTACACGAAATCAAGCAAAACAGATGTTCAGCTGAATTTGTTTTAGCTCAAATTTTTGAAAAAAATCGTATTTTCCCATTAATCATTTATGTTTGTTTATTTATAAATTGCATTTAAAACTTTGTAGAAAATTATTTTATACAAACCATCACAGGGTTTTTGTTTGCATAGTTTCACGTCAAAACTGTCACCAAAACAATGGTCGCCATGCCGTAATGGAGACGGATTTGTACATGTACGATGTCTCTCCTGTATACCTATATCGCAAGTGACAGGGCATGACTCCCAATTTGACCAACCCGTCCAGCCCCCCATGAACTGCAATGTGATAACATTTTACACTATACACTGAACCTTAACAACTCGTTGAAGTATTGCTCTATATTCAAGAATTGATTCAACAAAACAAACCTAAATGGAAAATAAGCAAGCAAGAAGTTTTTACCTTGAACATTGTTTAGTGTCAGAGTTGCTCCCTTTACAATGTAGCCCTTGATATGCGGGTGCAGGGCTAATGCATGTTCGAATGCGTGTGTGTTTTCCCAGACCGCATGTAACGTCACATGATGACCACGACGACCAATCTGCCCAGTTTCCGTCAACTTGAATTAATAGCAGCAAACTTGTGAATGCGGCGTCATAAAAACGATGGCACTTTATTTGAAATACAATGTCTCTGTATTTATAAAATGAGATGCATAAAAAGTGACACGTTTTAATTATAAAAAATAAAGCTAAATTTATTGATCATATAGTAAAAGTCATTCCCATAAAGATATTTTAATATTTTATATAAATATGATTACGAAAAATAAATACCTAGATCACACAGTTTGCTGAATTTACGACAAAAAAGCTGCGCTCTATGCATCTCTTCACATATATCGAAGGCCTCGTTCCAGAATGGACAGTTATCTTCAATGTCACTGCAAGGGGGTGCTTTAATTCGACGGAGAATAAAAATGTAATAAAGTATGTAAATAAATATATTATAAGAAAAGAACTCAAACTTAAAATAAGTAGGTAATTTAAAGCTAAGGCAAGTAGATAATTTGATGTTGACCAGAAACTGTACTTCTAAAAGTAAACAAAATATTAAAAAATCAATTAAAGAACATGGTGGCATATTTTCAGTTAACTATCTGACTAACTTTTAGCACTACGGTAGTTCCCAACTTACCACCCAGGATGCACTCCGGATCATCCACGCAGAGCCCAGGTGAAGCTACGGTTCATGCCGGTGCTTCCCCGATCGTTCCCTGGATGACGGCGGAAGAGCCCTGCTTGACCCAGGCAGAGCCCCGTCAGAGCCCAGGACGATCCAGGCAGAGCCCCGGTAGAACCCCGGTGGATTGAAAACGCCCGAAAATGATAACATTGATACAAAATTTTATTTGATATAATATCTATTGTTCCAGATTAGTAATTCATGATGATTTCCTGAAAAATCCTTATGCCAGATTGGATAACAGGGAAATGAGAAGGGTTTTAATACAAACAAGTGCATTCACCGCAAATTGTCGTTATTCTTTTGAAATGAAACGGCCTTTGCCGGGGCTCTACCGGGATCAAACGTAGCTCTACCTTTATCCTCCGGGACTCTGCCTGTAGTTGCCGGGGCTCTGCCGGCATCTACCGGGGCTCTACCGTAGCTCTACCGTAGATCTACCGGCTATATCATACCCCGGATCATCCCCGGTTTGTGCCGGCAGAGCTACGGTGCTTCCCCGGTATAACCCCGGTCGTTCCCGGCAGAGCTAAGGATGAAGCCGGCAAAGCTAAACCTTCCCGGATCATCCCGGACCACCCCAGTGATATTAAATATTTTATTCCATCCGGGGTCGAATGCCGGATGTTCCCGGATCATCCCGGACATTGCCGGCAGAGTTACGGATGTACTCCGGTTGTTCCCGGTCGTACCCCGGTCGTTCCCGGATCACCCCGGACGTCTACCGGGGCTCTGCCGGGATGTAAGTGAGACTGTAGCTTTAGGTTTATTCTTATTCAATGGTCAAGGGTATTCATTTGAAGGTATTTGGCAAAAATGTAAGGCTCCAATTACGATGTATGCTAAATGATACGTTTGAATTATCTATTAATGTAACTAAAACTTAATTATTTTCAAAATCACAATCTCCACTTTGTTTATGTTTATTTGGGTTTTTTTCCTTTCACATCACATGGTTACAGAATTTAATCAGATCAAAACTATCACATCGTTTCTAAAATATCTTCAAATTATGTTTATAATTATAAAAATCGTTCCATGTTTTTTAACATTCATCTAAAGTTTAAAAGTTATTTCATCTCTTATCTATTTTCTGAGGATTCAACACAACTTGGAAAAATGGCAATCATAACCGAGAAAAAAGTTGTTATTGGAATATCATTTTTTGCCTAGTGTTGCGCGTTCTCAATATATTGAAATATTAAATAATTTTGTTCTTGTAAAATTATAAGAATTAAAACAAACAATGAAGAGTATTAAGAGTGTACCAACGCTTTGTTATTGGCCTATAATCTAATCAAAGAAGCGAACACAAATACTTTGAATATTCTTGTCTAAAAGCATCCCTGTCGAATCTGTCAAACTTCGGTAATCACAGATCAGAGCGACATTTGATTTTAACTGTTTGCATTGTTATTGTATAACGCCAACACTATACCTTTTAACTTTTTTAATATATATCATATGTCATATTTTTGAAATTACTGTATTTCATGAAACAAATTAAAAAAATAACTACCTTGTCGTTGATATTGTAAAGTGTAATATACGTATGTGTAAGATATTTAAAAGCTGGCCTCTCCATTTCCGCATGTTGTAATAGTTTTACAACTGTCCATATTTTCAATGTTGCTACACGAATAACAAGACATGGAATCTGTGAAATAAAATTGGATAATTTTAAATATAGCTATTAAACATTTAAAAGAATCTCGTCAAATTATATAAATAATATCACTAAGACATATTCTCTTACTAACGAGCATTTTTACTATGTGGTTATTCATATTTATTTACAATTACACAAACACAAACAATCATATAGACAAATGCCACAATAAGGAAACACATATGAGTACCAAAGTGGACAAACAAATTTTATCTGATAAACCACGGGAATTTATTCACTTGATTCACAATCAGAACTTTGGTTAAATTATTAAATGTATGTCATACAAAATAATAATTAGTTTTCTGTTTTTAAGCTTAATCTCTTAACCTTAAAGAACCAAAATTAATGAACTTTGAAAAACAATAAAAGCCAGGTCAGTATGCACATCCGTGATGCTTGACCAGGCTCTTTTCTGTTGGTAGCATTGTGTTTGAATTTTGATTTTGAATTACAGAAGACTTCAAACTGACCAATTTAAAGCAGGCGAAATCCAAATTCAGCATATTGCTGAAAAAATAGCAAATACTGTTATTATAATGTTATCTGTTATCTCATACTGTAACCAACCTGTTCGTGACAAACAATTTCAATTCATGTTTTCAAAAATAACAAGATGAGACAGATGACAATAGCCGATGATTTAATAAAGAAAATCCAGAACTAGCGGGTATAAAAGTTGATTTGTATTTTGAAAACACTTACTTGATATTTGAATTAAATACTCTTTTAGGCATGCTATAATCAAAAGAAAATACAAATTATAGCACCTTTTCGTATACAAAGAAAATTAACGTCGCATTTTACCAGTTTTTACATTTAATGGAAGTTAAATCATTTACATAAGATCATGAGTGTTGATCATTAATCTTGCGTTATCAAGTATTTAATCGTGTATAAATTGTATATTGTATGGAGTGTTAAAATTAACATATTTATCCGGAAGTAAGTCGTATAATAAGAAACGAAGATTGTAGTGTTTTAAAGAATAAGAGAATTTTTAATATTACCTTTGTAAACCTTCATTGTGTTAATTTCCTCGCATGAGTAACCTTAAATGACGGGGTAAAAAATATAAGATATATTGCGTGAAATACATGTTCATTTTAATGTGTATCTTTATCATTATTTTGTTTGGTTTTGGTCTACACAAATAATTAATAAAATTTCAACGAAATTTAGTTTAACTGACTACAAGATCTCCTTCAATGGTTAAGATACACATTAACACTTTTTGACAAATATGCGTAAGATAGAATATCTGCTCTTTGATCATATTATTTAAAATATATATCAAATCACTAATAAATTTATTTGTCTGATTTTTACACCTATCTAAAAATTCTTTGTCACATATCAGTGGTCGATTACCTTTACTGGCTTTTTCAATCTCCGTGTTAGTGACCATCAATTAATGTCACATAATTTCTGCTACACATAATTTCAAATCAACGGTGAAGCCAAATGCCAAAATAGGCCAAAACGTTATAAAATATGAAAAACAAGATCAACAAGGAAAGGCGGCGTTCAATGAACGCAACCCCCATATGACCCAGCAACAAGAACCAATGGCAAGGAGCCCAGGCGGACCCCAAACATAAAAAGGACAGGGCAACGACACGTTAATCATTAAATGATAAATAATTTGTAACTGATTAGGAATTCAAAGAAAATAATAATAGGCCCACAAAGGGGAAGGGGACAGGAGACCGGGGGAAGGGGAGGGGGGGGGTTAATCAAAGAAATAAAAACTAGAGGCAATGGGGAAAATACTTACCGTAGACGAGAAAACAACAAGGGACACAAGCAAAAGTGTCACCAAAAACAGTATGAAACAACATAGACATACATCTGAGGAACACAGTGGGGCGCCGCCTTGGAACGGTCAGCAGCATATTAATGACTGCTGGGGAGTTTAAACCGGTTAAACTATTTGACGGTTTGCTATTAAAGTGTCTATTCCAATATACTAAACTCTTAAATTTCACGAATTTTTCTAAAATTGTTAAAATTCTTGGAGACAACCTTGTCATATCAATATTTGACACGTGACAAAAGTGTTCAGTAGCTTTTTTATTCTATTGTTTTTTGTTGTTTTTTTTGCATTAAGTAAATAATGTGATTAAGTTTATATGATAAAAACATTAAATGCTCAATTTCTTATTTCATTTATCAGTTCTATAATGATTATGTTTTAAATAACAATTTTTATGGCATTTAATTATATTTTCAGAAAACGTGAAGGATTGCAACGCCTCTGACACTCCGATCCTGTTCAAGTTAATATTTAAGGACACTTCAAAGAGGAAGAAAAAATAGCAGTTGCTCCATTGACAAATCGAATGATATGACGTTATACATGTATATTACTGTTTAGTGTTTTCAAATGTCAACCAATCTAGCATACATTGTTTCTATTGGAATGTCAAACATATTTTGTAAAGTTTTCTTTCCTTCTTTAGTATGACCTACGTAAATAGTGTCTATTCAATATGACTACATTTCAACCTCAACATTAGTCGTGACATATATTTATTTTCTATTATAATAACTTATTATTTTCTTGTAAAATGTAAGTTGATTTAAGTTTTTAAATAATCAGTAAGAGTTAAATCTTAATAACTGTTAGTGACAAATCAAATTAACAATATTACTGCTTTATCTTTACAGTCTTACTTTTTTATTTGGGGACGTTTGTTTTTCCTTACGTTTTGTTTGTTGTTTATTTATAAAGAACAAAGGTAATTCAAACTATTCTCTAAAGAATGGTATGTCTTTAATCTCCTGCACTTTATGATCTTTCACACGAATTAAACATATTTTATCCGGTTTGTTGCGTGAGTAAAATTTAGAAACAAAGTCATCTTTGTTTGTTATATTACAATGATGATAGGCAACACAATTTACACATACGGATAACATTCCATCACGAAAAGTACATATTGTTACTCTTTTTGTAGCTATACCAACATTTAACTTCCCTAGACTGCAAACCGCCAGGTCAGTTATCTTTTTTTTAAATAAATTAAGGAGGGTATGTCAACAGTTAACGTAATGTAAAAAATTACGATTCACGTTTTTATGTAGAAGATGAGACTGAATTAACATTCAATCCCATATTGATTGCTCTGTTTTTATAATTTGACTGTTGCTGCTGAGAATTTCGCTGCTTGAATTTAAAATTAAAAAGGCCCGACTTGATCCAACCGAATGTTCGATATTTGCTATTTGATACTTGTGTTCATACTTTTTGGGGGATCTCTTTCCTGTTCCACAGTTTAATGTTGTTTCGTATTTAAAGCTGCATTTAAGAAAAATATACAAATAAAGAAATAGCTACATTTCGTTAATTAAATGTGATTCATAGCGATTTCTGTCCCTATTGTGGGTGGCAATGCAATCAAAATGAGTTTTTCCTCTGCCTAAAGGTCATCCGTACATGAATAAAATATCAAAAAAAACAAAAAAGCAGTCCAAATTAAGCGGTATATGTCCGCATTTTTTTACGGATGTTTTCATACAAATTCAATATTTTTATGAGATGATTACTTTTTTGTGAACGAAAGGGCTAATGCACCGTGAAACAAAAACGGTAAAAAGTTGTTTGCTTAAGAATATCTCATATTTGCTGTGATCCATAAAGTAACAATGGATTTTACCACTGTGACGTAGCGTATACATCGGCTGTTTATAGTCTTCAATTGCATGTTAAAATTCGTATACGATCTTTGGTTCTCAACTTATGAAAAATATTTAAAGAGATCAAAATACTGTTAAAAATGTTAATGAAACTATATGTATAGAATGCTTGGTTTTTAAGCTGACGGAAAATACATGTTAACATATTTATTAAATGCAGCTTTAATCTTTTGGTCGCTGTTCTGATCCGTAAGATCATTGGTAATTAACTTTTTGAACAGACTCTATTAATCTGAGCCAGCAATGTTTACCTTTCTATTTTCATTTGCTTTTTTATTTTTATTGCTTTTTTAGCATATCCTCTTTTTCAGGATTTAAGAATGTGAAAAATGATAATCTGTAACACCCATTCGTTATCTTTCATTTTAACTATCAAAAAGCGCTGTCATTTGAATGATTTCCCAAACCCAAAGTCGTCATACTATCTAGAAACAAAAGATACGCACAATTAAATGTTATGCTGATTCAATGTTTTTCTTTGATATTATGAAAAAAGACAAATAAATATTGAATTGAAAAAAGTAGTTGTTTTTTCGTTTTCATATAACCAACTTAAATTATAATATTATATCATATTGTATCGCTGTTATTCTTCATGAATGTCGTTAAAACACGCCAAGTTCTGTAAAATTAGTTCGTCGTATTTTGACTAAACTTTCTATTTTGATTTTTATCATACTGTCAAACCTTCAAGCAAGATATAACACAACAGATCATAAAACGGTACGCTTTATATCATGTGTAGAGCTATATATCAGACGTTTGGCTTTATATACTATATGCTTTAAAGTACACTATATTTCACATTTTACGATCTTATCGCACTAGATTCGTTATAAATGCTATTTTAAGCTTTGACCTCAAAGTGTTGCCTTGAACTTAAAGGTATGGTAAAGGGTGTTGTTCATAACTCGTCTTCCCATTATTGTGCAAATTTGTAGTTTCAAATTAACAAATTAACAAGTAATTTTAAAATCCCTTGAAAGATGACAAAATTATGGTTCGGACACAAAATATACACCTAAAAGAGACAATGTTAAAATTTGGCCTCCAAGTGTGACATTGACCTTACAAGTGTGACATTGACCTTAGAGGTATAGGTTGGAATGTTGCGCACAACACATCGTCTTATAATTGTAAAACCTAAATGAGACCATGTTAACCTTTGACCTCCAAGTGAGACCTTGACCTTTGATGTTAACGTCTGAGTGTTCGGTGCTACATATCATCACTTTAGTAGGTAGAGGGGTGATTTGCCAAAGGCACGCCTAGCAATTTCGAAATCCTTTGAACAACTGGAAACAAGATATACCCTTCATTAGACCATGTTAAGTTTTGACTTCCAAGTGGGCCATTGAACTTGGAGGTATGTCTCGCGTTTTCACCATAAGGCGTCGTCCCATTATTGTGGCTATATATGCCAAGTAATTTTAACATCCCTTGCTCTATGACAAAATTACGGAACTGACACTAAATATACTCTTAAACAGAACATGTAAGACTTTTACCTCCAAATTGATTGTGTCGATGTGACGTAAACCCACCCCCCCCCCAAAGAAAAATAAAACAGAAAACCTCCAAATGTGACTTTGCCCTTAGAGGTAGGCGTCAAGGTGTTTTACATGACACTCCCACAACCAAAACATACTAGGGATTTTGATTGTCAAAATTTCAAATATTTTCCTGTCACGACTGCCAATTTTCAAACCCAGCAAAAAGTCTTCTGGTTGCAAGTTATGTAAGTTAGATTAAAAAACAAAACAGTTGACCCTCCAGTGTTAGGACAAAAGAAAGGTAAACACTTGACACAT